GGGTTCAAGGGTCGTCCCTCGGGGAGGCCTGGGGTTGAGGGACCGTGGGGCGAGAGTCGTGGAGGGGCTGTGGGGCGGGGTTGTGAGGGAGCGTGGGGCGAAAGTCGGTCAGGGGCTGTGGGGCGGGAGTTGCGAGGGGCCCTGGGGGCCGTGGGGTAGGAAGGAAGTGTATTTGGCTTACTCGAGAATCGGAAACGCTGCCAGGGATGTGGGGCCGGGAGGGCTTACCCTTGGGCTGCTGGCGAGTCCAGGAGGTGTTAAGGGAGGGGTCAGGGCCTGTCCTGGGGGCCTGCTAGCTTTCGCCCACCACACCTGTGTCTGGAGATGGGGTGGATGCTGCGACCTTGGGGTGGAGCGTGTGCCATGGTCACCCTTCGTTAGGATCCCGAGCAAGGAGAGCGCTGAGGGAACTGTCTGAATGCACCGCCTGGCTGGTGGGTGACGCGGCTGCTTCCCAGCCCCTGAGCGTGTGGGAAGGGGCTGCGCTGCTGCGGGGCTTGCTGAGCCCCTGCGCTGGGGACGGCTACCTTAGTGTTTCATCACCTTAGAGGGAAGAGGAGCTGGACGCACCTGGAAAGGCAAGTAATTCCAGAAAGGTCAGCCAGTTAGTCCAGCGAAATGGAGATTTCTGTTACTGAATGACTGAGCTTTTTATAAAATATGGAGAGATTTCATCTCTAGAAATGCTGGATGTAGGATCTTAAGAGGATTCCAAAAACACAGTCAAGCTTCAAGGCACAGTTATTTTGTAGGCAATTAGAAGTAGTGTGAGCATTCTATGCAACACTGTACGCAGAAAAAACATTTTATCTAAAAAGAATAAAAGGTGAAACAGTGTCAAACAAATTCAATTTTGAAACTTGAATGATGTTTAACTATAGATACTTTAAAACATCAGTGGTTCTAAGTAATGATTGAGGTTATGACTCTTAAGCATATAAGTAGTCCTCTTGATTTCAGTTTGTCCAAAGGGTTATGCTTGTGTGTGATCTTTGCAGAACTAAAGCATCTGTCGATGTAAAATTTAGGTTTAAAAGACCAGAGATGTCCATGAAGTACTGCTGAACTAAATCAACTTTAGTGTTCCCCTTACTGCTTAGTAAAGTAATTGATTTCTTTAAGTGGGCCTTTTCACAAGAAAGATGATAAAATTTAAAAATAGGGGAAGAAATGTATCAGAAATTACAAGGAAATGTGCCTGTGAAGGTACTTCTGTTGTATGTATATATGAGGTGATTTCAGTTGGACTAGATGATCGCTGTAGGTCCCTTCCAACTGACCTATTCTACTCTTAGGGATAAAATGTCAAAAGTCATTTCATTGAGAATTCCCTGCTTAAAATGAAATACGGCTAGATGTTGCAGCATCAAAGCCATTTTCTTTAAGTAGTCTTTCCATTTTCATTGAGATGGTTTGTTTGGCTAAACTTCAGTAGTTGGCTAAGAATTTAAGCAAAAAGTGATATTAGAGCCAGAACAATGGAAAAAAGCTGAGAATACTTTTCATTGGTCTGACAAATGAGACTATTAATCTGTTTGCTGGTAAATATGCTAATAAAGCTAGACAGTTTATTTGCTTGTTACCATCATAACCCCTAATGTAACTGAGGGGACAGTTACCAGTTCTTTGGGAACACAGGACAAATAGCTTTGTGGCATCTACTGTGTCTTCTAGGTGTTTAATTCAGCAGCATCACATCCTTACGATGTAGACAGAGAAACAGAGGCTGGGGGCTTCAGAATGATTCAAGCAATTGTCTGCTTCCCTGGAAATTAGGCAATGGGGCTCAGTTCTCTTAGTCATCCCAAGTTTTGTTTCATGGTATGGGTGATGACAACTTACTTTGGACAGCAAGTGTTTCCCAGCCCTGCTGAAAGGATCACCCTAGGTCTTGAGAGCAATTTGAGTAGCAATCGCTCAGGGTGAGAGGCTCTGAGAAGGTGAGGTGAGTACCAGGAGTGAAAGCTTATACAACTGTACAAATATAAGTATTTTCCTTGCTCACAGGTCAGAGACTTTAGGGTATGCTTGCACGGATGGTGACCAGACAGACATGAACTACCATTCCTGCCTGCTAGCTGCCTTCTTCCTTCCTGCCTGGAAATCAAATAGCAATATTAGTGCAGTGTTGTACTACGCCTGTGATCCCTGCTGATGAACGCACCGAAAGCAGCTTTGCAGCTCTCATGAGCTGGGTGGGTCTGTCTGTACCTGAAGATAGACTGAAGTAATCTGCCATAGTGAAGGCTCGTGTCACGTTTGCTTTAGCAATACAGTTAGCTATTGTAGTAGAGCTATTTGGTAGGGCTACACTAAAAATAAAATCACTACCCATTCTTTTTTTTTCCACCTGTTTTTTTTTAATGGTTCTTAACCTGTATCCCTTTAGTCACATTATTTATATCAGAAATGCTTGTACTTGCATTTCTAAGGGGCAAACAACTGCATACAAGGCAGAAGCAAGTGAGAAGTGACAGCTGGGAGCTTCCTAGGTTTGGTCTTCACTGTCAAAATTAGTGTTTCTTCAAGTTATGCTGTGTACGTGGCACAGATGTGAATAGGCGAGAGATCTCATTGCCTTTCCTTCTATGCTACATTACTAGCATACACATTGAAATGCAGAGACTTAGTTTTTTTAAGGCTCTTAGGAAATTTACTGAATTCATATACTCTCCTGTGCATTATTTTTTGGTGTCCTATAGTCAAATATTGTAGCTTGTGAATATTACTTTAAAACCTTTTGCTCTATGGAAAAGCAACAATAAATGTAATTCTCTTTCCTTGTGTGATGAAACCTCATTAAGCTAATCCAGAACAAATTGCTTCTATAAAAGGCAATGCTGCTTATCATTTTCTGTACAGGTATATTAAACCTAGTTAATCCCCACATTTTACACACTGAGGAAGTGACCATTGATACAGATAAATATGGGTTAGTGCATTATTGTTGTATTTGCTTTCCCTAAGATGGCTTCAAAATCTTACCTGTGAGGGCCAGGCTGGGCAGCGGAGAGAAGAGTTATAGAATCATAGAATTGTTCAGGTTGGAAAAGACCTTTAAGATCATCAAGTCCAACCGTTAACCCAGCACTGCCAAGCCCACCACTAAACCATGTCCCTCGGCACACATCTACACGTCTTTAAAATACCGCCAGGGATGGTGACTCAGCCACTTCCCTGGGCAGCCTGTTCCAGTGCTTGACAACCCTTTCAGTGAAGAAATTTCTCCTAATATCCAATCTAAACATCCCCTGGTGCAACTTGAGGCTGTTTCCACTTGTCCTATTGCCTGTTGAGTGGGAGAAAAGACTGACACGTACCTCGCTGCAATGTCCTTTCAGGAGATGAGACAGAAACGTGGCTTGTCTTGTTAATAAGTTAGATTTTGAAAAACCTGAAAGGCAAGCAAACCTATATGAAATACTACATCTATGTATATCTTTTGGATAGGCTAATATTATATGACCTGTAGTTCCAAAGATAATACATATCCTCTAATAGGCATGGTTTTATTTCTATTTATTATAATGGAATTGTAAAAATAATAGCAAGTTGAGAACTGGAATGTGAAAAATATGTGCACAGTGAACAACAAATGTCTCAATTTACCCAGTTCTGAAGCAACTCGTGAGATAATGTATTACTGATATTTACAGCTCTGTCTTTTCTGAAAAGGAGCAAAATAAACGATGCTGGGAAGTTGCTTTCTAATAAAAGTACCTTTTATTAAATTCAGGAAAGCTACTTAATTGTTGATCACTTGTCTTCTACTTTAGATATAATCCGTACTATCCGCGACCCGGAGAAACCTAATACTTTAGAAGAACTGGAAGTGGTAACGGAAAGCTGTGTTGAAGTGCAAGAGATAGGTGAAGATGAATATCTGGTTATCATCAGGTTTACACCAACAGTACCTCATTGCTCTTTGGCTACTCTCATTGGTAAGATTTCTATTTCATTAAATCTGTAACAATGAGCATAAAGTTAATTTTAGGTTGTTTCAATAACAGTCTTAGTTAAAACTCAGTATTGCTTTGCCAGCAGTTTGACCAGGAATTTCATCTTGAGAACCCTACTAGCAATGCAAACAAACACAAAACAGAAGAAATGTGGGGACATCCATCTGTTTTTATCAAGTTAGGGAAACTCTTCAAAGGGCAGCTCTCAAAAATCTACTGGGAAGTGGTACAGAATTCCTTCTTTATATTCTCCAAATTATTTTAGTAATGTTAAATTGAAAATGGGTCAGCTCTTAAATTTAAAAAAATGTTAAAACTTTATGATTGTCTCCCTTATCTTTCCCTTACCTTATGGGCTGTTGTCCATTGCCACACATGTACAAAAACCCCCTCATGGAATACAAGAATACCAAAAAAAAGTTCTGAACTGTAGAGAGTTTGAAAGCAATTAAGTTGAATAAGAATCTGCACTGGCTTATTTCGCTTTTTTCACCCTCCTTATTATTTGTAGTGAAATTACATCTGAAAAATCACATCTGAGATCTCTGAAATGATTTGTTTAAATGTACCAAGGTTAGCAACTTGTACCATTATATATCAATACTCAGATTTCTCGGTCTGTTTTAAAGGTTCAAGGGAAAATAAGTCTTTAATTTAATTTAATGAAGTACATGTATTTATGCCCAAATAAACCTTTGCAGCTTTATGTAGAAAGTATAAAGCAGCAAAGCATTAGCATGCCAAACAGTAATAATTTATTTATAGTTTGACCCAGTTAGGAAGGTCAGTGGGTTAAGGCTCAGACCTGAGGATCAATGATGTACATGTCAAATCTTAAACTTCCTGCTAGTCATGTTCTCGGCACTTAAATGTCAGCCAGGTCTTTGTCTGCTTGATTGTGCAGTCGTTACCAGTGTTGTGTGACCTCTGAAGCACAGTTCCTCATGCTGTTACAGGAAAGGTTTACGGTAACCTTTTTAAATAGTTGAGTAGTATATGTAAGAATGTAGGCAGTAAATAGTTTTGGGTTTTTTTTCCCCAAACTTCCTTATCTGTGCAGAGTACCCTAAGCTAGTAGTTCTTTTGGGGAGTATTTTCTGTTGCTGTTACCACTGACTCAGCCTGAGGACAAACTGGGGCTGTGGTATGGCTTTGTCCGTGCATAGCTCATAGCTCATAGCAAAGCCAGGTCTTGTGGAGAAACTGCAATGGGCTAGTGGTTGGGGTTCCCCAAAACTTGGATCTTGCTCCCAAAGATGAACCACAATGTTCCTCTGCTCAGTCTGTACATTAGAGATTAAATAGTGAAGTTACAAGCTTGAATTCCCCCAAGTCATTGCAGGCTTGTGTTCTTCAAGCAATTTATGTTGGTTTCTAGCATTAACAAATGTTAGAAAACAAAACAAGCAATCGTCTCAGTACAGATGCAGCCACAGTGACAGCCAGGAACCTCTACCAAAATATAGAAGAAAGCTGGAAGTGGAGGAATTTGTCTGTATTTAGTGTGTCTAGGTGATGTTTAGAGACCAGAGACCTAAGCCTGTAAGGAAGGTATGAGCTTAACGGGGAAGCTATGTCCAGAGGGTGAAACTACAAATTATTTAGTCTCCTCTGTGGCTTGTGCTGCTCAGAATACGAAAGGAGAATATTGTCAATTATACTGGTACGTTTTGATTGTTAAATATGGATTCTCTGAAAATGCATCTCAAACCTTGAATTTTACAAGAAAATCTCTTATCTGTTTTGTTTAAACAGGCCTTTGTTTAAGAATAAAACTTCAGAGATGTTTGCCTTTTAGACATAAGGTAAAGTACCTGTTCTAGAACTTGCTTTAAACTACATGAATGTATGCCAAGTTCTCTTTAGAAGAGCGTATGCTTCAGGATCAAGTAACTTGCAAGCTGTGATTAAGGACGGGGTCTTTTTAAAACTTGTCATTTGCCTGTGGAGGGAGTGAATGTTGCAGTACAGTGTAGCACCTGAAGGGATCTGTGAGTAACTGTGGTTCTTCCTTCCCTTTACAAAAGACCATTTATTGCTGCACTTCTGAAATACACTGTATTTCAAGGGGTTTCCTCACCAGATGTCACATTCTGGTTCTTGCTTAGTGGAAGAGAGGATGTTTTCAAATACGATGTTACAAAGAATCATACTCTTGCCTTGCAGAAAATTAATGTGGCCTTCTGCAATATTTCAATATATCTAAGCATCATAAATATAAAATATCAATAGTGACCGACTCTGCTGTACCACTTGGAATATCTGAGAGTTGTCTCCGGTGGGCCAGCCCTCTGTGAGCGAGCAGCCCTGAAAGCAAGAGAACCACTCTTGTCAGAAACCGATCCAGGGGCGTTCCAATACTTCATGTACGCACCATCTAGGAAGTAAAAACTTTCGAACAGGTTCATTAGAGTTTAGGAGAACTGCAGAATTCAAAACTGGACCTGCGTTAAGGGAATCTTTATGACCTGTGTCTCAGGAACTGTTGTATAGATGGCACACGGGCCTGACCCGGGCCCATATACTGTCTAACAAGGGGCCAGGCCTGGCTATGCTGCTGGAGTGTAAGAAACTATATAGGAAACTGGGGGTTACTGCATCCTTTAAGAAAGGTGTTTGGGTCTTAGCAGGAGCTAAGAGTAGACCTTTAATGACAAACATAGTCTTTTATAGACCTTTAGAAACTTGTCTGAAATAAGTTAAAGTATAAATTAATTAGCTGAGGATTTTCTGGTGTTGATTTTTTGTTGTTTTGTTTTTATAGTTGCTAGCTTCATCTTTTCAGCTCAACAGTGTAAAGTGAGACTTGCATTTCTAGAAAATTAGGTAGACAGTGACTTGTTATGCTGGACACATGGTAACAGATAGGTTTAGCTTCAGTGAGATAAGATAAAAGGCATAGGATTTGTTTACTTGGTTCTCCTTTGGTACATCAGTTTTATGAGGGTTTTTGTTGTTTTTTGTTTTCCTCAGGCCTGTTAAATGCATGAAGGTGATTTAGGTGCTGTTTAAATTCTAGTCCTATGTCTGTTGCCATGCAGGAAGTAGATACTGCATTATGCTACCATTTTCAAATAGAATTATCTGTGATTCTCATCATTGAGCAAAACTTGTTAGGAATATCTTACTAGGAATCTCTTCCTAATGATGTTTTTTCAAGAGTGCTTAGCTTGTGAAAGTGACACTTGCAGTTTTGGTGGCTTTTAAACAAATTGCTCCTGAATTGTGGCCTGCAGAGAACTTGTTGAGAAAGTAGTGCCAATTCTCCACTGTTTCCAGTAGTCTAACTGCAACTACTTTTTCACAAGAGAGGTTGATATTAATGAGTGAATGCCTCCACAATTTTGAAGAAAGATTACTGTGGCCTCTCTGAAATGGGGGAGGAGATTGTCTTGTGATTATGTTACAGTGAAGTCTAAGATCGTCTCTTACTGATCCCTTTTTGTTGTCTGTGAACACTTTGAAAAGTATGAATTACCTGCATTGTATGTGTATTTTACAATTTTTTTTCTTCCAGTAATGAATATATTCAACTGTTGATTGAATCTAACATTAGTGATCTCTCCTCTAGCTGGAAATCTACATATCTGAAGGTACACATTCCACTGAAGAAGACAGTAAGTAGAGCTTATGAATGAGGGCAGCTTTAGACTGTGTGTTTGTGTTCTTTTGAGAAGTCCTTCCCCTACCTTACAATCCTTTTCAGAATTGAATACACTGTTAAAGCTTTAAAATGAAACACGTAGTTGAGGCTGTTTCAAAAGCTCTATTGGTACTGCGAACACATTCTTGTTGTTGGTTTGTTTTTTTAAACAGAAAAACCCCCACAGTTCTTGGAGATGTTAAGTTCCTTTTATAACAGAAGTTGCTACTGGGCTGCTGAATAATTAACATGAAGAACTTCCTGACTGGTTGATCTTGCTATCTTATCATCATCATAACAAAAATATATGTTTCTCAGTCGGTGTTTAAAGTAAAACTTGCAGAACATCAAAATTCTTTCAAAGCTATAGCAAATCACTGGCTTGAACAGCTGTTAAAGCCTTTGTTGAGGCAATGTCCCAGGCTTTTTTGTTCTAAGTATTAGATATTTTTGTATGGGGAAAATCTGTTCTTGTGATTAGAAATCTTGTTCTAAATAATTAGAAATTGAACCTGAAGAACTTGGACTACTAATTTATCACAGGTTTCACACTTTATTTCAAGACATGTCATTAGTACATCTTACATTATTTTCCTAAGATGGAAGAGTAACAAAAATGTTTGGTTTCTGATGGTTGTTCTTTTGTGACTGAGCTTTCATGTGCTTTATTTTCAATTTCCTATTTAATCCTCTGAGCACTCGAGCACCCTCATGTTCTTCTTGTCTTCTTGTCTTTCCGTTGTGTCTGGCACAACCTTCTTATTCCAGGCCATGCAACTTAAATGTCTGCCTGTACAGTGCTTTATCAGCTACTGTACAAATTTCAATTTTAGATACTATGCAAATAATATCTTCCACCTAAAAATAAAATTGAAAAGAAAGTTGACACAATGTACTGTTACTGTACAGCAGCATTTTCTCAGTCTTTGAGCTGGCCATTCACCAGGTTTGGAAAATCTGCACTGCAGTGTGGTATCTAGCACTTGCTGCGTTACTGATGCAGTATGTGTAAAGTACTACTGAAAACTGCTTCTGACTTTACTTTTCATGTGATGTTTTGCAGTCAACAAGCAAATCAATGACAAAGAGAGAGTGGCAGCTGCGATGGAGAATCCAAACTTGCGTGAAATTGTGGAGCAGTGCGTTACAGAGCCTGACTAGTAGCTATAATATCCAGAGTTATCATTTTGATACATTTCTTAAAATATCTTTGTTTTAAAAAAAAAAAAGAAAATAATAATAATCAAGGCCTTGAGTTTAATACTTGAGTTCTTTTTATCTTCCACATGTTTTTTAAAAGCAATTGTTTATAAGATAGATTTAAATTATGATGAATTAGTCTCTAAAAGAAAGTGAAGTGTATAGTGTTCAGAGTTTGTAATTTCTGGTGTCCAGAGAAATATTTTATGATTAAAGTCAAAACAATGCATATGTATTGCCTTCTGATAGACGTTGTGATATAAATTCTGTTTTGCAAGTTAAATTTCTACGTTGTTTCAATCACTGCACTGTAAAAATAAAACAGATTCTTGTACTGAAAAGCTGCTAAGTTCAGAATTTTTTTTTTTCCTTTAAGCTTAGGTTTAGATTTCCATTAGAGAAGAAAACATTTCATTCAACTTCTTCATTGTTTCTAAACACATTAAAGTTGAAATGAATTCAGAAAAAGAATTGGGAACCAAGGGACTGGACTGGAACAAGGTAGATTTTTGCTGGGATGCTATTCCTGCTAAATATTTGGGGGTTTTTATTTGTAAGTACACGTTTCTGATTCTGCAGACTTTGCTCCATAATTCTCCTGCAGCTAAAGTTTTTTCCTGTGGACAAGATCTTGCCAGTTTGATCCTGCTTTTTCTTATGACTGACCTGCAGCGTGGAAGGTGAGGGAACCCCACAGCCCTTCATCCCTGTGGTTCCCACTGTCCTGTTCCTTTTTGCCGCTCCCTCACTAATCTCATCTGGGGCGCCCGTAACGTTGTCAGCTGTCGCGTGTTTTCTCACTGGAGAAGGTCCCTGGGGTTAGTTTCCATTGCAGCTGTGGATTTGACCATGGATTTACCTTTCCCTGAAGAATGAGGCAGATATTTCTTGCTCAGCTGTCCTTCTCCCGGTGGAAGCGGGGTTCAGCATCTGCCATGCAGCCGCAGGAGGGTCTCAGTGTAAGTGTACGTGCAGGGGGAGAGGCTGCTGCCACCCATCTCGTGCCCCGTGGCGCTGACGAACTCTTCGGGTGCCCCGGGGAGTCTTTGCTGGTCAGTCAGTGCACGGATAGCCATAGCTATCCCCTGCAGTGGTTCATGAGAGGTGCAGGGAGCCGTTCCTCGTGAAACAGTGGCTGCTCTAGTGGGCTTGTATTTGGTTAAATGGTGAGAAATCCTTGGAGTTCAGTGCAAACATCTGTTCCGATTTCAGGCATTTGTAACCATTTTAATAATAAGCCACGTAAAGCTTTCCCGAAGGCGTGGAATGATTGAATGGACTCCAGCTAGGCTACACATTATGAATGGGGGGGAATTTCTCCCGTTGTAGAACAGCATACTGACACATGTCACAGCTGTGCCAACAAGAGCCCACAATCTCCCTACTTCCAGTGCCAAGGTTATCAAAAAAAAAAAAAGGGGGGGGGGGGGAGAAGATGTGCAGGTTACTGCACATCTGCAGAACTGTCAGTTGTAGTGTATGTGTGGAAAATTACTTCCTTAACTTCAGTTATTCAGCTTCAATTAAATTTTACTTTATTTTCAAAAGCCTTTGTGCCCTCATTGCTCACACTGAATTTAGCTTGAGGGAAGTATCTATGTTCTTAAGCAGAACTTTCTACAGATGCTTCTGTAAAGTGTACTTAGATGTCAGCTTAAATGTGGGACGCTGCTATGCCCACTACCTCAGGTATTCAGCAGGGTGTGAAGGGAATTAGCTGCTTGATGTTTGCATGGGAAACTAAAAACTTGGTACTGTTTCCAAAACAAATAAAAGACCCATGGACCAATTTTTTTTTTTAAATCCTAGTTTGGGCAAAACCTAAAACTCTTGTGTATTTAGACTCCTGCTGGAACTGTCTATCGTGAAGTATCCTGGAAGATGCATTTTGCAAGGTCTTCTGCTAGTTGCTTTTGCTTGGTTGGTTGGTTTGGGGTTTTTTGAGCTGGGAAGACTCATTAAATGATAACTACTTGTATCAAATAATTTATTTTCCATGAAAAGCAGGTAGAGATGTTTTGCTATGACAATGTTCCAAGTTTAGCTTTGCCATGCTATTCAAGCAAGTATAGAGTAAGAGCGATGTTTTCCTTCACCACTGTTTGCTCTTTAATAAACTACTTAGATGGTAGCCATTGCAAATTGTAATTTCAGTAAATGCAATTAGCAGTTCAGTTCAACATAAAGGATTTATTCTGTGTAGTCACTGGTCACCATCAGCCCAGTGCTTCTAATACTCTTCTTCCAAAAACTTTTGAATTGCTAAGCCATGATGTAGTGTGACGCTTGTACTGTTCCTTGCAACTTCTGTTTTCGTTTATCGCTCTGTAAGACTTGCTGTCATGCCTCGTATCCAAAATGGCTTCAAGGCAACGTCTGCAAGTCCACACAAAGGCAGTTTCAAAGAGAATAATACTTCATGTAGGAGAGTCACTATTTCCATTTTAAAATTAAATCTAAACTGACTTTGTTTCTATTAAGTAGAAGCAATCTGTCTTTTTTTTTTTTTTCCTTTTCAAAAGGAGAAAAACAAAAGCAAAGGATTTTTTAACTATTAATGATTTCTGGAGAGAAAGACGTGAGCAGAGCTAGAAGTGTTTTGGAAGTGTTTTCCCACGAGGGGGAGCACTGAGAAAAGGTCACAGAAGGGTTTGGGTTGGAAGGGACCTTCAAAGATCATCCAGTCCAACCCCCCTGCAAGGGACAACTTCTCCTGGATCAGATTGCTCAGAGCCCCGGCCAGCCTGTCCTTGAGCACTCCCAGGAATGGGGCACCCACAGCTTCTCTGGGCAACCTGTTCTGGTGTCTCACCATCTTCATTGTAAAGAATTTCTTCCCTTGTATCTCATAAAAATCTATGCTCTTTTAGTTTAAAATTTACCCCTGGTCCTGTCACTGTAGGCTCTGGTTAAAAAAAGCCTCTCTCCATCTTATAAGCCCCCTTTAAGTATGGAAAGGTCTCCCCGGAGCCTTCTCTCTCCAGGCTGAACACCTCCAACTCTCTCAGCTCTTTTGATAGGAGAGGTGTTCCAGCCCTCAGATCATTTTTGTGGACCTCCTCTGGACCTGCTCTTTGTGTTCAGGAGCTTTCAAAAACCCTGTGCTCATGTTCCTTCTTTTTATTTTCCCTTTTTTGTTCCTTAAAATCCATTATTTTTACCTCGAAGGGAAGCCGAGTGCACCCACCAGCAGCCAAAGCCAGGGCTGCATCCCAGATCCTGGCCCGGTGCCGGCACAGAGGATGGCTGAGAGCACGCAGGCTCCTGCGGGGGGTGAGGGTAACCACAGCTCAAAGGCTGTTGTTAGTTGCTGTTTGTCTTTGCTTTTTGTGGGCTGTTTAATAATGGTCCAAGATGCAAATACATGGGAGCAAAGATAATTTTCTTTATCAGGCTTCCAGGTTACACTGGTTTAAAGCTGCCATTAGAGACTGGGAAGTTGTCCCTCAGAGCTGTCTCTTTATCTTCTCATTCCACATTTTACATTTTTTGCCTTTAAGCAGAAACTTTCTCAGAAAACTTTCATCCCTTGGGAAAACTTACTTGCTACCACCAGGTATCCCAAAATAGCACTTACATGCCTTTTTTCTCTTTGTCTCCTGCCGTACCAGAACTCCCGGGTTTGATCATTCATGACGATACTCTGGGAGGTATCTGGGAGGCAAGAGGTCAGTTTTCAAGTGCGAGACTCAAGCAAAAAAGAAAAACCCTAAACCCTCTTACATGTTTGTAGTAAAAGATGTATTCAAGAATACTGAATTTGAAGACAGATCTGGATTTGCATCACCCAAATTTTAGAGTGGATCTGCCTGTGGTTCAGTGTGCTGCAGGTGTAAATTTTCCTCCAGAATTACATTTTAAGTACAGAAGTGCAACGCCTCCGATGTTGGGAGTTGTTTGGATGTGGGGGTGTCTTTCTACCACTGATCTCCGGGTGGGTTTGATGAAATCTGTGGCAAAGCTACTTGCATCAAAGTGCTGGTGATTGACAAGACAAATTTTGATTAGTTATTCTAACCAAGCCTTTTTTTATCTCTCTGATATTTTTAAGCGTTATTTTAAAATGTTATAAGGACAAGAAGTGTGAACATAACTGTTTGCTTCGGTTGGTATTTATTAGATGAGAATATTTCTTGTCCTGGGTGGATTTTCATGAAAATACCTCCTTAAGTATCGTAGGAGGATGCCATTTAAAATTGACTGAATAATCAAATAATGTCCTGCTGTAGTAGGCCTATAAACTGAATAGATTTTCTTTTCCACTTGAAAACAATTACTTTTTTAAAGCAAGAAAATTAATATTTTTGTAGCACAATACAGCATTTTCATGACATTTCCATGAGCTGTTGCAGTTTCTCTCTGAGGGATCTACTCCCACATAGAAAGCATCAAGAGAAAAACAAGAGAATCTTGTTTTGATTAGATGTTCCTTATGTCAGGCAAGTACGTCCTCGTGCCTTTGCCGTGTAAGCAGAGACGCTGCTTGTCAGGATGCGTAAAAGGAAGGCGACAGGCAACAGTTTCAGCCGCTTTACACTGCAATGAACACGGACCTTTAGTCAAGGGATCTGGGGCCGTCCGCTTCCCCGGCTGCCCCCAGAAAATAGTTACAGGAGGAAACTGTCTCCAAAGTAACGGCTTTACACAGAGTGGGAGGATGGAGAGGGGTTTTGCGCTTCCCCACCAGTGCTGAATCGCGCAGCATCTGCTTCCGCATCACCC